ACTGAAAACTTAGGAGACAGTAGGATTGGCTGGTAAATGCCTATAGTGATATTTATTTATTTATTTTTGGTTTTTCGAGACAGGGTTTCTCTGTGGCTTTGGAGCCTGTCCTGGAACTAGCTCTAGTAGACCAGGCTGGCCTCGAACTCACAGAGATCTGCCTGCCTCTGCCTCCCGAGTGCTGGCGTTAAAGGCATGTGCCATGACCGCCTGGCATGTTTTAATAAATAAAGCTTGCTTGAAAATCAGAGGGTAAAACTAAGCCACTAAAGGCCACGCAATGGTGACACACCCATTTAATCCCAGGATTTGGGAGACAGAGGCTGCGAGTTCAAGGCCAGCCTTGGCTTCACAAGCTCAATGCAGAAACATCCAGGTGGTGGTGGCTCACACCTTTAATCCCAGTACTAGGGAGTCACATGCCTTTAATCCCGGTACTAGAGGAGACTATATAAAATGGGAGGAGAGAGAGGCTCAGGGCTCAGTCTCCAGTCACCCAGCCTTGGGAGAGGTCAGACTTCGCTAGTGGCTTGGCTGCTTTGTCTTCAGCTTGAACCCTAATATCTGTCTCTGAGTTTTTATGATTTGTACTACAAATGTTGGTGTCTATAATATTTAATTTAGCTGTTTGTGGGGAAGAAAAGTTTGATCCTAAGGCAACAGGTTGAACAGTAACTAGAATATTCCTGTAGCTTTAAAATATTAACGAATATTAGCATAATATTACTACATATTAATAGTAATAATACAAATATTTGTAAATAATAACAATAATAATAATAAAAATGTTCTTTGAAACAAGGTCTTTCTACTTAGCCCTGGCTGTCCCAGAACTCACTATGTAGACCAGACTGTTCTTAGACTCAAAGAGATCTGCCACCTCTCCGCCTCTGCTTCCAGAGTGCCAGTATTAAAGGGCAGGCATCACCATGCCCTGCTGTTATTATTATTTTGAGACAAGGACTTATGATATAGCCCAGGCTGGACTCAAACTCACTGTTTGGCTGAGAATGACTTTGAGAATTTGATCCTTCTGCCTAGTGCTGGGTTTCAGCTATGGTGACCACTCCTAAAAATGCCATGCTGGAGAGGCAGGCTTCCTGCATGTGGGCAAGCACTCCACAGTGAACTATATTCCCAGCCCTGGTTTGTCTGAGACAGCATCTCAAGTATTCAGGCTAGCCTTGAATGCTTGGATCTGCCTGCTTCCATTTGAGTGTGTGACTAGAAAATGGTTCTCTTTTTTTTTTTTTTTTTTTTTTTTAATATTTGTTTATTATGTATACAATATTCCATATGTGTGTATGCCTGCAGGCCAGAAGAGGGGCACCAGACCTCATTACAGATGGTTGTGGGCCACCATGTGGTTGCTGGGAATCGAACTCAGGACCTTTGGAAGAGCAGACAGTGCTCTTAACCACTGAGCCATCTCTCCAGCCCCCGAAAATGGTTCTCTTGATTGAGATGGTGGCCATGACTGGATTTCAATGGTGTTTACTTTTCTGTCTCTCTTCCCTTTGTCCCATTGGGAAAACCTGTTGACTGGAAGAAGTTTTGAGAACGTTATAAGTATAAATCTTTAGGGCACTTTCCACGAATGTTTGGAGAGAAGGCAGCCTTGGGGAACAGCAGTATTAAAGGAAGAAACAATTGTGCCTTTAAAGGGGTTAACAAAGTTTCTGAAGGGACAGATGTCCTTAGAATCAAATGGTGTTCTTAACCCAATCAAGGTTGATTTAGTCAATCAAGTCGGATTATATCTCAACCTCTATTTAAATTGAGCTTTACTCTTAGCCCCTCCCTTCTTGGTTTGCTTGTAAAAACCAGCAATCCACCTCTCCTGTATTGTTCCGGGCCAGGTGGACTGGCAGGCTCCTAGGATTTCCAGGTTTCCGCACACCACCACCTTCCATCCTGAAAGGTAACTTCTGCTATCTACTTTTCTTTCCCTCACCTTACTGAGTGTTTTCAAAACAGGGGACTTCCATGGGGTTGAAATTTAGGAAGGGAAAAGTGGAGTGCCCTCCCTTCCTCCCTCCCTCGGCTTTGTTATCTCCCCTTGATTCAGAGCTTTCAGTCAGGGCTGCCCTGACTCCCTCTCAGATGTCCTTTGTAGTTTGTAAATGCAGGTTTGACTAACTTTTTCTGTTTCCTGCTGCTTGCAGTTTTTCTGGTTTTCCTGTCCTGAGTTCTTTTGAACTTGTGTGCCGTTTCTGCTGCAGTTCCATGGGTTTCATTTCCAAGTTGTTTCTCTGTAATCTGTTCCACAGTGAAATAAATACTTAGGAAAGATTATATTCCATCTGCACTTCTAATTAGGACTTAGTCTCAAAAAGATAATTCCTGTAGATAGGTATATACAACAAACCAGGCTTGCTCTTGTTTTTGTAAGATTTTCGAATACAGGCGGGATCTGGAGAGAAAATAAGATGTTAGTTTAGGGAACAGGCTTGTTAGCACTAAGATGAAATCATAGATAATAGTGATTTTTTTTTTTTAAATAAGCGCACATTGGGAAATGTGTCTTGGGTGGGGGCTGTTTGGGGACTATGAAAAGGACAAGACATGGCTGAGGTTTGTCGGGTTCAGGAGGTGGTGGGATAGAGCCTGCGTTTGGGTACACGTGCAAATGCCAGCAGTAGGGACCGAGAAACGGGGTCCCACTCTCGGTGGCTGCGGCTGCGTCCTCCAGCACCTGATTCCTTTAGAGGTAGCGCAGCCTGGGAAGTGAGTGATGGCGAAGCTGGGTTCCGCGTGGGCGGGGCCAAGGCCGTGGAGACCAACGTTCGATTTTTCAGTTTCCACTTAGTCCAGGAGTGGGGAGTTCTTAGCTGCTTATTACGAAACCAAACGTCCCTCGGGTTCTCCTGTGACTTTCCGACTTTTAATTGTGTCTAACTACCCACGCTCCCCAAATCAATGCGAGGCACGAGCCTCAGCATTCTAAGGCAGGAATTCCGATCCCTCTACGTCCCCTGGAAAACACGGTGTGTGTTTGCAAGCCCAGCCGTCACTGGCAGAATTTTGCAACGATTTCCCAGTTTTGTTGGCACATTTCCAGGAGGGAAGGTTCTTTGTAATTCTTTACTCAGACATCAGGATCACATACAAATCTCTTAGCAGATAGACAAGGGAAGACAATTCTCTTTCAATTTTAAAAGCTACAACATAGTAAGTTTTTTTTTTATTATTGTCCCTTTTATTTGTGGTGGTGGGAGGGAGGGAAGGAGAAACAGTAACAGCCCATCTGATGCCAAAATGGCTTAGAGTGGTGGCTTTGTGAGGGCATGGAGGACCCCCCCCCCCCCTTCTCCCTTTGCTCTGGAAATAACTCAGTAGCTACAAGGTCTGAGAGCCCGGGTTTCATTGTTCTTAGCCATACGATTATTTGTCAAAATATTTGACTGTTTCCCTATTGCTGCTGAGAAGTTTGGACTTTCCTTTATGCTCCATCTCCACACTGGGCTTTCTGACTATCAGCACTGTTGTGTTTACAGGATTCTAGGCTTCAGAGTGCAAAGGTTATCCATTAACGCGGAGACTGAGGCTACACGGTTTAGCCTCAGCCTCCATCCACTTTACTTGGTCATAATTTTCTTTGTTTTGTGTCAACTGCCCCCCCCCCCATCGTTTTTTGGGACAAAGTTAAATGAAGTCTCCTGCTTATGAATGTTTGAGCTGTTGCGTGTAGAGTGTGAACATTTATTAGGCTTTAACCAATACTTTAAGAGCAGATATTAATCTGGTGAGGAAAGGAACCTTACTTAGTACAAAAAATGATCGATATTTTATGTACTTGAATGAGAATCAGGGCTGGCTTAAGGATCTCCTTCCAGCGCTGCTAATTAATTGTGAGTAAGTAATTGATTCACTTCCTTTGAAAAAAAGACTAACGAGACCATATGTGGGTTGGTAGTTATGTAAAACGACAGCAAAAACATTCTACAAGGCAGATTCTTGCCCCTTGATAAGCTGGCTTCTTGAATTCTTCCTATTAACAACTGCGTTGCTTACTAGTTCCGGTCGTTTTTTTTACCCCCCCATCCCTCCCTCGCTTCTTTTCATTTAAAAAATGGGTATGAGTGCTTTATTGATGTTTTCCCACATTTTGACACGGGGGGGGGGGAACCTTGAAAAAGAAACAAACAAGTTGTTCTTTCTGTATGAAGCAATAGATCTCTTTTATATTTGAATTCATTTGCATTTTGGAGCAGAAAAATTATTGGATGTGATTGTGGCCGCCATAGTTCCTCCCTGAGGCTTACTTAAAACAGGGGGCATCTGTCCCAGGCCTTTGGAGTCATAACCTTTTCCTGTCTTTCATCTTTTCTATGAGTCAGGAACAAAACAGTAGGGGAACGTTTTAAGTGAGTTGGGCATAAAGGGGGGGGGTGTTTTTTGTTTTTGACCCCACTTTTAAGCCTAGTTTTACCCAAGTGAGTTTCTATGCAAACTCAGATTTTTGATACTAAGTCCAAACTCGGACATGAAATTATAATAGAAACGCAAAACCAGGGTCTTAAGGGAAAAAAAGACAGCTTTATGAAGATAGTACTTTGGGGAAATTTAATCCTCTTATCTCACATTGAATCTCTTTAAAGTGTTTTCCTGAACACCGCTATCCCGTAAGCTCCCCAAAGCCAGTGGCAAAATTTTTTTCTTTTTGTTCCCGATTCGGGGCGACCCGGGAGTTGGGCAACCGGCTCCTCCCCTTCCCTCCCCCTCCCCGGGCGCACCTTGCGGGGGCGGGTGGGGGGGGAGGGCAGCGAGGGAGGATGGGCTGTGCGCCTGCGCGTGGTGCTCGCAGCCCCCCCACCCCCAGAATACCTGTCACTGGAACCGCCCGGGCGCGAGCGCGCCACGTTAGGCCGGATGGCGGGAGGTGGAGCGGGACGCGCGTGCGCGGGACCTCGTGGGGCGGGAGCGGATTGCGCGCGCCGCTCAGCGGGGCTCGCGCCTCGGGGGGCCCGTGGGGGGCGTGGCCGGCCTCGGTGGGCGGGTCAGAGGCGCGCTTGCGCACACGCTCGGGCTCGAGGGGGCGTGACAGGCGCGGCTGGGGGCGGGGCGTCGGGAGGGGCGGCCGTGGGGGGGGGGGGGGAGGGCGCAACAGCTGCTGCGAGCACTTTCTGCCCCAACAGTCCCCCCGCCGGACGCCGGCCGCCCGCGCAGGGACCCCGCGCCTGCACTGTCCCCGCGCGGACGAGTAGGGGGCGCCCGCGCCGCTCCCTCGCCCCGCGCCGGAGGTGAGCCCGGCCCCCCGGAGCCGCTGTGTGGGTGGGGGTCCCGGCGCCCGCGGCCGTGGGAGGCGGGCATGGTGCGGCCCCGTCCGGGGCCCCGCGTCGTCGGGGCCCTGAGGCGGACGCACAAAGGCCGCGCCGTCCTTGCCGCTCGTTCAGCCCGCGGCCCGGGCGGTGCAGCCGGACGGCCGCAGGTAAAGGGGCGCCGGGGCCGCGTCCGTCTCCACGGCCGGGACCGCGCGTGGTGCTGGGAGGGACGGCCGAGACAATGGCCCGCCCGCCGTGGCGTGGCCGTCGGGGGTCCGCGTCCCTGTCCGACCTGCGTCCCACAAGTGAGGGAAGGTGTTCGGTTTCACGCCCAAACTTAAAACGCCCCGCAAACTCCCGTGGGAAGTTGGTGCGGGGCGTCGGGAGGCGGAACCGCACACTGGAGGGCGCGGCCCCGAGAGCCTCAGTTTAGCCCCAACGCGAGCGGGCGGGCGCACGGTGGTGGGCGCCCCCGCCGCGGACCCTCGGAGCTCGGGAAGAGCATTCTTGGGCGCGGAGAGTGGGGGTGGGACTCCAGGAGGGGGTTTTTCCCAAAAGGTTTGCTTCCAGAAGTGAGCCGAAGCCCTGGGGGCCCCCATTTGGGACCCCCGGTGGGGGCCGGTCCGCATTCGGGCTATAGAAACTTTTTAACTTTTTATTGTTTGAGTCCGGGATGGGGGTGGGGGGAATAGGGTGGTCGTTCCCAGACGGAAGGTTTCTGTCCTTGAGCCTTAGTTTCTCTTTCTGAGAAACTGGAATTCTTGAGCACGCGTTGATTAAGGGTAGCCAGCCTGGGGTCCCTGGTTGTGGGGCACCATGTGTACCACGGGTTCCCGTGGCCAGTTGGTTTCCTGGTTTGGGGATGGGTTGGAGCCATTAAGCTGTATGTTTTAAGAGGCCTAGGTCTGATTTAGTTCAGGTTGATTCAATTATGTCTTCATCGCTTTTGAGTTGGTTGAATAACTTGACATGAGATTAAGGCCAACAAAAGAAGAGGCCGGGTAGCCACAGCTGCTGGCCAGGCCTGGAGGCTAGGTAGGGGCCTCAGGGGGCCTTTCACCTCCCTTTGTAAGTGAAGGACGTGCAGAGCGTTCTTCTTGACTACTTTCCCCCTAGTGGATCCACTGCCTTGATTGGTATCAAATCAGATTTCAGATGCCTAATTTTTACTTCGAGGATGAGTAACAGGTCTAGCCCCCCTCCCCCCAAGCTATTTTCTGTAGTGACAAGTGCATAGAACTAACCTAATTGCCGTCCGAAAAATGTAATCGCCACACCACTAGTTTGTGCTTAAAGTACCAGAACTTTTAAGGTGTGTCCTTAATGGTAGATGCCCTTTTTCTCCCCGAGAGAGAAATCCTGTTTATTTTAGATACTGTTTTTCAAACTTTTGGAGTCCAGTGACACATTTTTTCCTTTTTGGTTATTTTGATTTTCATTTTGAATCCTGATCTTTTATTTATTGGGAGTTACCCCAAGGCTCCCCTGACCATCCTGCCACTTTCCCAGTTATGTAAGTATAAAAATCCAAGAGGCAGTGACCTCTAAAGATCCTACCCTCATGCATACAGAAGGAGGAAATAGAGGGAAGGCTTCTGGGGAAAGGGCCTAGGTCTTTAGTTCCAGCTCCTTTTGATCCTTTACCCTCTCACCACCGGCTCCCATTTTGCAGTCTGAGCGCAGTCTTTTTCACTGTAATATTTGGTGAGATTGAAGTTTAATAATTGTCTCTCTCCGCATTATTCCCTTTCACTTCTTACTTAAAAAAAGGAACTAAGATGCACTTAGAAAATTTCCCCCTTTATGCTATTTTAATAATAGCTCTCTTTTCCTCCAGGTGGTGGGGAGGACCAGGGGCAGAGAAAGTTCAAACTCTGGCTTTTTTTGAGGGGGGGGGATGTTTGCATTCGTTTTGGAATCCTCCATTTTTGGCAGAGAAACTTGGGTGTCTAGGAGCCCCTAAACCTTTTCTAGTGGGCCTTTTTTTAAGAGAGGAAATTTGAAAATAAAACTTAATCAAGTCTCTTAAACTGATGAAATAATTAAGGAATCCAAAGGCATAGGACTGCTTAGTCTATGTTCCCTGGCAGATGAGTGCTAATGACCTTTTCTCCCTTACCATCACTTCGGTCTGAAACGGTGTTTGCCACAGCAGGGCTGCCACCCTCGGTCTAGGTGCCTTCTTAATTCTGAGCTGCCTGATTAGAGCCTAGGGGGTTCCAGAAGATGAGCTCTTTGCCCACTTTATTAAATGACATTCTTTTTTTTCCCCAGTTGTTCTAAACATGATATTGTTGATGAGAACTTTGAAGTAGTTTTAATGACCCTTGACTGCCTTAAAAACAGTACTTCATAAAAGATCTATTCTGACTGCTGTGGAAACAAATGACTTAAAAATACTGTATAGGAAGCTGTGTTTCCAATCAGAAAACAATTTGAAACTGTCCTATCTCATGCCGTGTGGCCTCCATTGTGGACTTTTGAGGTCACTGGCTATGATTTCTTTTAAATGACTGGTTCCTGATTTCCCATTTCAGTTTAATCCCGTGGCAGTATGTGTAATTAATAATTTGGGAAGTTGAAGCTGAGTTATCAAGAAGTGGGTTTTCCAGCTATTGAATTAGAAGGAACACATGAAGCAGTTTAGGTAAACTGTCTGCTCTAATAGCATCAAAATGTGCCATTTTAAGTCCACAACCTAGAGTACGGAATAGTTTTCATTCACTAGGGTGATTAAAAAATAAAAATTTGGAAGACGTGTATACAACAGCTACCAAAATTGAATTAAAGGATTTCAGTCCTATTAAATATTCTGAACCAGGAAGGGCTTAGCTACAGGCATGTAAATAAAAGCTGTGACAATGGAGGCGCTCAGCTCACACACCTCAGCTCCAGGTTTTTCTGGGTTGCGGTGTTAATAGTTTAAATGCATGTGAAAGAAAGTGTGTTATTGCACAAAGACTTGGAAATGTCCTCACTCTGCTGTGGGGGAGTCTGGTGGAATATCACTTGCAGCCTCGTTGTGGGGGCACTGTAGAAAGTGCTAAGAAGTGGTCTTTCGGTTAGGTGATCTGGATTAAGGCTCTTGGCTAGCCAGTAATATATATAGCCAGACAAATTTACAAGGGTATGTGGGCCAAAGGGTTTTAAATTCAGACCACGAGGGCAGATAGAAATCTTGCCTTTAAGGAAGTGTGTGTGGGGGCGGGAGGGGAGGGAGTGGGGACACACATCGCCTGCCGATCTCTCGTTCTCCTTAAAAAATCTTCATCTTCCTGTGAGTGAATTCAGTTGTTGGACCTATCTACCTTCCAGATAAGCGGTGGTGGTGGTGGTGGTGGTGGGGGGGGAAGCCCCTGTTAGCCAGAGCCACCATAGATCACCCTTTATGTCATGCTTCCTAGAAAACTTGACATGTGAGCCTGTGTTGACTGCAGCATTCTGAAGAGCCATTGCTTCCTGCCCAGGCTAGCAGCATTATTGAGTTACTGGAAATTTGGGGCCAGTTTGGTAATTTTATGATAAAATTGAGAAATACAATTACTAAACCTGAAAAGACAGCTCAGCGGAGGTGAGCAAGGGGAAGAGTTGACCCTTTGGCTTTTAGATTTTTTTTTTTCCTACACTATTCCCAAATCAAGCTAGCTTTTTAATGGTTGATGATTGTCTTTTAAGTTTAAGATAATACTGAATGGCCCGGTGGCCTTTTACTTCACTTTGTATTGTTTCTTAGAGGAGGATAATTTAAATGTTTAGTAACTTGATGTTTGTTTGACACTCTGCATAAGTGAATATTAAAACAGTTTGGTGGCAGTTTTTATTTCCTAGTAGCTGCTGTATAAAACTATCCAACAGTGATTGGTCTGATGCATTGAAAGGAGTTTTTGTTTTTATTGATTTGAGATGCAAACAGGTATCTATGAAAGCGCTGGACACAGCTTTAGTGTTTATTCAACTTTATGTAGGAAGTGGTCGTTCTGTGAGGTCGAGGAAAGCTGGATTTTAAGGGCATTGCCTAAGCTTGTGTTTTATTTTTACCTGGTTAGTTAAATTGGATCTAATTTAGACCTTGCCCATTTAACCTTCTGAAAAAAAAATGGCATAGTGAGTGTTTAATTCCTGGTGCTACATAATGGTTACACTAGTTGTTGTTGTGTGTCCAAGGATGCGATGCCCCGTGCAGACATGAGTCAGAGTTTGCTGCTGTTTGCTGAAACCCTTCTCTCTGTTGGGTTGGCCCAGTCAGATCTAAAAGCAGATGGAAGGTTGCCCTGATAGGCAAGGTTACTGAGAGAAACCGAGGACACCGCTGTCTCTTCCTGCCTAATTGACAATTAGCAAAAAAGTTACTTCTCCCATAAGCTGCTTTGCACATTGATACGGAGTGTTTGAAAAACAGTTTACAGATCTCAGTACTGATAATATTGAAAGTAAAACTGGCTTTCTCAGCACATCTGAACTGTTTTGGGGGCAAATCAGGCTGTATCTCTTTAAAGGGCTTCAATCTTGCTCCTGCTGCCAGTCCTTGGGCCTCCTGCTGCTGGGAGTGGAGTGTTCTCAGGGACTTTCAGGAAATGGGATTTTGTCTAGGACTTATCACCTTGCCTTGCAGCAGTGTTTTGCCTGTGATGGATTATATTATGATGCTGATGCTGAATTTAAACTGAGCATTTACATTTAAATCTTTCTGTTTCTCTGAACTTTTAAGTGTTTTTTCCCTCACCTGCTAGGTAAGTTGGCCTGACCACTGAAAGATCAAAAGTAAACAGGCTTAGGTGGTGGTAAGGTCCCTTGCCACCAAGTCTAATACCCTGCATTTTGATTCTTGAGACATGTTGGAAAGAGAGAACTGGCTTCCAAATATTGTCTTCTCTTTGCTCCCCACATATGTGGTGTAAGGCACGCACACACCCCCCATATACAAATAATCGTTTTAGAAAGTGATAGGTTTTGTTTGATACTGTAGAAGTTAGTCCTTTTAAGAAAACAATGTAGTAGACTGGAGATGGCTCAGTAACTGGTTAGAGCCCTTGTTGCTCTTGCAGAGGACTAAGATTCGGTTCCTAGCATTCACATGGTGGCTCATGAGTTTCAGGGATCTGATGCCTTTTCTAAACTTCAGGCCCTGCATGTAGATGTTTCACACACATACACTTGGCAGAACACACAATAAATCTCTATTTATTTAAGCCCTAGATCCTGGAACTAACTTTGTAGACCAGGCTGGCCTTGAACTCAATAGTACTGGGATTAAAGGCGTGCGCCACCACTACCTGGCTCGATAAGTAAATCTTAGCAAATCTCTCTCCCCACAAGCTTTATATTAATGGATGTTTGGCCTGCCTGTACTTCTGAGTACTATGTGTGCCTTTGGAGGCCAGAAGAGGCTGTTGTACCCCTAGAACTGGAGTTAGAGCTGTAAGCCATGTGGGAGCTGGGAATTGAACCTATGTTCTCTGGAAGAGTAACCAGTTCTTTAACTACTGAGCCATATTTCCAGCCTGAATTTTATAGTTTTAAAGATAGAAATAAATTGGCCAGAGGGTAGTGCTGTGTGTTGAGTGTTTTAGAGTGTCTGTTAGGACACCTAGCCTGCATGACACTTCGGAGGATGTGGCGGATTGCTGCC